GAATCTTAGAATATTAGAACATATCTCAGTCTGGACAAGCCAGTTTGAATCGCTTGTTGTCTTAAGAAACTCACACAAGTTTGCAATCAGCTTTCTGCTGCGTAAGAAGGGGAATGCACTCTACTAAGTGAAGGAACTTGCTAGCGCAAGCTAGGAAGGATATTAATAAACAATGTATCATTTCCTGCCACCCTGAACATTCCCACAAATGGATCTTTTGACTCACCTAGTGCAGTATTCTTTCCCCACTGTGGTCAGCCAAAGGCAAATGGGAAACCCATAAACTTGACATGAGCACAAATAAGCCTCTCTTCACTTGCATTCCCCAGCCACTGCTTTTCAGAGATAGTACACAACCATTGTAACTAGTAGCTATTGACTTAGTGTAGTATTCAATTATCTTTTACTTAAGGTAGACTGAATGAAACTATTGGACTGGGTTAGGTCCATTAATTTCAATAGGGCTTCACTAAGTAAAACTTAGCTGAATGCTATCCTTAATTTTATTTTATTTTTTCTCTCTCCCTCTCCCCCGCCCTTCTTTCTGCAAGAAGGAAACAGTACTAATTGCCACAGTGGAGAGCAGTTGGCCACAGAAAGGTTCATGGAGGGTTCTGGGTTTCTGTCAAAATTGGAAGAGCAGGTTTTTTTTTAACCAAAGTTGTCTAAATGAAAAATATTGCTGTACAAAGGACACATTGCACAGATCACTGCACCGCACAAAGCTTTGTGCCTGAACCCATAAAATGAAAGGTCACCACATATATTTTTTCCTTTCTTTTCTTTTCTTCCAAGCTTGTGGGACTTCAGCAGTAATTCAATGAGTTTCAAAAAGACTGAGGTGAAAAAAGGAGAAAGATTTTGGGGTCACTTTGCTGCTCCTTTTTCTTGATTCTAGAACTACTCAGTCAAGCTGGTTTTGAGGTACGCATGCCTCTTAAGAAAAGTCTTGCTATCGCTGTTTCATGTTTGAATGAGGAACACAGACAGCAAATTCGGAGAGATCCCATGGAAAGGGAAATTCAATATTGCAATGACTTATATGTACTTTTCTCCCTGGGAGAGTGGTGGGGTGAGGCTATGTGCAAACCTGAGATTATGAGTGCCTTTCAAACAAGGAATAATAATAATAATAATAATAATAATAATAATAATAATAATAATATTTATACCCTGCCCATCTGGCTGGATTTCCCCAGCCACTCTGGGCAGCTTCCAACAAAATATTAAAAATACAATAAAGCATCAAACACTAAAAGCTTCCCTAAACAGGGCTGCCTTCAGATGTCTTCTAAAAGTCAGATAGTTGTTTATTTCCTTGATGTCTGGTGGGAGGGCGTTCCACAGGATGGGCGCCTCTGCTGAGAAGGCCTTCTGCCTGGTTCCCTGTAACTTTGCTTCTCACAGTGAGGGAACCACCAGAAGGCCCTCGGAACTGGACCTCAGCTGAATGATGGGGGTGGAGATACTCCTTCAAGTATACTGGGCCGAGGCCATTCTTTCACACACTTGGCTTCAGTATATACATACTGGACCAAATTCCATAGCATGAAGATGTGTTTACTTACTCTTCTAGATAGCTGACCTGGTTGCTATCTGCCATTGAGTGGGATAGGAGGGGAGGCAGAAAAATCTGACCCATAATTCACTAGCAGCAAAAGCCTTAGAGGGAAGCTTGGCTTCAATTAGTGCTCTGGGGAGCTGGATAAGTCCTGCTGCTGTCCACTTCCAAGCCACTGCTGAAGATTTGGCTCCAAAGGGTGTCATTCTGAAGGTGAAGAGTCTACCTGTATTTGCTTTTATTCTGAAATGTTTGTTGGCTCTCTGTAGCCTATTCATTGGAATGAGTTTTTGCTGGGGTGAGAGACGGGTTGTGTGTAGAGCATGGAGTGCAGGACGCAGCCACTTGACCAGCTCAGGGTGAGAGCCTGTAGTGGGCAGTGGAGAAGAATCTCCTTGGGTGAGAAACTCTATGCCCTGTGCTAACCCAGATTATGTTATTTCACTAGATCTCCTTTGGCTCCTGTCATCCAGTGCTGAGATTCCACAGAGGATGTGCAGAATGCCTCTCTGGTTTTCTTCACCATTTCATCACATGAAGCTTTGTTTTTATTACCTGAGTAGCGGAAGACTTCCCATTGACTCAAAAGGTTTACTTTCCTTGTCAGCTGAGCACAATAGCCATCTCTGGATATTTGCCTGTTCTGATAGGAGTGGTCCATTAGGGTAGAAAAATGCATTGATAGAAAAATACATTGATTTGATATTTGTATGAATTGTATCTAGTGCTTTATAATGTGTAGACCATGACAAACAGAGAATTAGAGTTGGGTTTTGGATCAGTGATCTACACTTTTGTATGGCTAGCAATTCTTTCAGGGATGGAAAAGCTGTAAATTTCATGGTCCTTTGCTTAGGGTGCACTGGCATTTAAATAGTATTATGTTCTTTGTCTGAAATTAAATTATATGTGCATTATTCCAAGTGTTTGTGGGATTCAGCCCAAAGTCTCAATGCTAGTGTTTTTTGGTCAGTTGCAGCTGCATCTTAAACCCTTTTTCCACAGTATGTTGGTCCTGCGGGTCTTCATTACAGTAGCTAGACTACTACTAGACCAGAGTGTCTCTTTCACAGAGTGCAGCTTTAGTTTTAAAATATTTGCTTAGTGAAAATGTAGCAGTCAATCTGTAAAGTAATGCAATAGAAAACATAAATAGTCTTTGACAGATGTGTGTTAGGAAATAATTTTAATAAATGTTTCCTTTTGCTGACAAAGAGTTTTCAGCAATGATGTTTTTGAACTCGATAGCTAAAGTTCCAGTTGGATACCCATTTTTCATCTGGCCTGGTCATTAGATTTGCTTTCACTGTTTGAGCCATGATTTGAATCCAGATTTCCCTGGTCCAAGATAATTACACCACAATTGTCCGCTGAGCATCCATTTCCCTCAAAGATCTCTCTACAGAAGGGTTTAGCCAAAACAAACCATGCAGTTTCACTTTTTAAATGTTTCTGTACCTTTCCCCCCAGCAACAACTGGTGCTCAATCTTTTGAAAATACAACTTTAAAACCAACTAAAGGCAGACAATAAAGCAATGCAGATGCAGCAGATTATATACACCCCCTCAATCCCATCAGCACCATGAATTCATTTAAGAAAATGTGCATATGTTTGCTTAATTTTAATTTTTATTCTCATTACAACAGCACACACACACACACACACACACACACATAGTAGAAGAGGGGAATTAGGAAGTTTGAGGATTCAGCAGGAATGTGTGAACATGTGAGCAATGCCATTTGATGATTATAGTTCTTAGGCTGCCTCTGATACTTGGATCTTTAGCAGCCTTTTAATGGTTTCAACTAGAATTGCAATTTTGCATTTGTTGACAGGTGAGGTAATGGCATTCTTCATTTGATTCATGAATTGACTTTGATTTCTCTCATTTTTTGGTGTCATGTGATTACCGAGCAATTCTTGATCTATGTAATATCCCAAGATGTGCATGACAAGATGAGTTTGGCTGCAGCCCCTACCCAGCCTGACTGCCAGCACTACTAACATGTGGGCCACAGCGCTATCATAGTCTGTATCAAGGAAATTAAAATTTTGCATCCAACCCCCCCCCCCAAGGCTGTGTCCAAAATTAAGCAAAAACTGTATAGTTTTGCATATATGGTGCCAACTCACAAATTTTATTTTCGACTGTAGCAGAATGAGAGTTGAGGACTGGGGACAGGTGAAGTCTGTGGTGCAAACTTAAAGGCCTTTCAGTAATAAATTTCCCAGAACTATCCGTGTTAGTTTTTTAAGATTTTCAGGACACCAAGTTCTGTCAGCTGTCAGATTCTAGAATTTTTTTACTAATGGGCATAAAAATGACTTGTATATGTTATCTTGGCAAACAATGTATCTATTTTTGACTTTTCCCCCTCTCCAGAAAAAGCATATATTTTCACTTGATTTTTTTCTTTTTTGTCTGTAAAGACTTTGCCCAATCATTCATTGAGCACACATATTTTTGAGGATTTTATATTCACATGAGTATTTTAAAAAGAGAGCTGTATCAATAATTATTAGGAATGTAAGTTACAAGTCCATTTTAACATGTAGCTCTTTACCAATAAGAGATTCTATGAAATTCACTGACAAATCAACTGCAGGACAGATGATACTCCTGGGGTTTGCTTCCTTCCAGCATTTAACCATTACAGCTCTCTTCTACACTAGCACTGTGGGGCTGTTTTTCTATATGTACCGGTAGTTGTGAAAATTCAAGCTATGGCATATGCCTTGAAGCAGTGTGGTGGTGATGATGATAAGAGCCCAAGGCAAGAGAACATGTCTCATTCCCAAGAAAAGCCATACTTTGGCCTCCAGTTGACTCTGTGAAGGACAGATATGATGGCAGAAATTGAAATAATAGTTGTATTTTCACCATCTTTACTTGTCCCATGATGGCTGCGGAGTATGTTGAATAGTGAAGGACTTAGGTGAAGCTGAGTTTCTGAGGCAATCTGACATTTGATGCTACCTCCATGGTTTCAGTAAGCTTGTCTAAAATGTCAGGTTCCTATCACACATTGGACATGTTTATACAACAATTTGGAAAATATGGAGAATGAAAGGGGAATGTGAAAATAGAAACAGAAGCAAGTGAACAGGTACACAGAGAACACATGATGCAACTGCTATATGAAGGATTTCCATTTGGAAACATTAAACCAGTGTGATTCTTTTATGCTTTTGTACATGTATTAGGATGCGAGAGTTCCCAGTTTTTGTTGAAAAAGTTATCAGTCTGGTGCCAACACATTTGAGATGTGAAAACTTTTCTAGCCGCATGGGCAGGTAACAAGATAAATTCCTTATGCAACAAAAGTAATGGGATAATTACCAGTCTTATTCACTAGGTCTTAAGAGTGATACTTACACTGTGAATGACTGATTTAATCCTAACTGAGGTATTTTTATGTTCTGTTTCTTTACAGTTAGCTGCCCTGGAGAGACAAATCTTTGATTTTCTTGGCTTCCAGTGGGCTCCTATCCTTGGTAATTTCCTGCACATAATAGTTGTCATTTTGGGTTTGTTTGGAACCATACAATACAGACCTCGGTATATAGTTGTGGTAAGTTTTGAGTTCATTGATTTTTATTAAAATGGATAATATAATATTTCAGCTCAGTTATAATTTAAAACATCTGAATAATGTGGGTGGTTTGTTTTTTAAAAAAATGCAATATTATATTTTTGTTCAGTTCTCCAGTATGCTTCATCTATTTGTACCATGAATATTGTCAATCTCCTTTGGAGCAGGAAAGTAAGTACTAAAACCTGAGTAGAATATTAGAATTAAATCATATGTCCGCAAAAATGTGAAACAGATACAAATATGTTCTACAAGCAGTATCCTCTGAAAATGTCACACCTTAGCTTGTAGGACATCTCAAGCAGTTCCGCATTCAGGTCTCCCTAACAGCTGGCTTAGTGATGTATGGAAGTGAGAGCTGGACCATAAAGATCACCGAAGAATTGATGCTTTTGAATTATGGTGCTGGAGGAGACTCTTGAGAGTCCGATGGACTGCAAGAAGATCAAACGTATCCATTCTTAAGGAAATCAGCCCTGAGTGCTCACTGGAAGGACAGATCCTGAAGCTGAGGCTCCAATACTTTGGCCACCTCATGAGAAGAGAAGACTCCCTGGAAAAGACCCTGATGTTGGGAAAGATGGAGGGCACAAGGAGAAGGGGACGACAGAGGACGAGATGGTTGGATAGTGTCTTCGAAGCTACAAACATGAGTCTGGCCAAACTGCGGGAGGCAGTGGAAGACAGGAGTGCCTGGCGTGCTCTGGTCCATGGGGTCACGAAGAGTCAGACATGACTAAACGACTAAACAACAATAACAACAACAGCTGGCTGGGCATTGGTAAGAGAAGCAGTCCCAGAGGATATGCCACTCCCTGCCCCCAGCCAGTATTGATGAATGGAGGCAGCTAGTATGTAGCACTGATACCTTCCTACCACCAGAGAGGAGTCCCATGGATGAAGAAGCTCCACCACTGCTGTGTCCAAGCAGGCAGAAAGCCAACAGGAAGGCCCAATATATGACATTTGACAGCTAAGGGTGGGACACCAGCAGCTTTAGACCCATTTTAAAGTAATTTTTGCAGTCATGAACTAAAACAAGATAAATTCCTTGTTATGTGACAAGAATTCCTTATGGATGTAAAGCCCCACAGATCCTTGGGCTGGCCAGCTACGCTAGCCTGGAGCTGATGGAATGAAAAGGGGTGGGGCAATAAAAACAACCCACTTTCCTAGCTGGCATGGACCACTAGGTTTTGGGATATAGCTATATATCCACCATTTCTCCCCTCCCCCCCCCGCCAACCAATTTGAATTGTTCTGCCCTTCACTTGTTTACCATTTCTGATTTTTATCATGACCTTTTTAATACACTCAGGAGAGAACCTCTTCCACAGTGAATTCATTATTTCTGCAATTCACACTCCCTTCCCCAACCATTTAATTGAGTTTTGGAGGTCACGTGAGACTGCTTTGAATTCCTGCAGACTTTAGTGACTGAGCCTGAAGGCAATGAAAGATAGGAATTTAAAAAAATAAATAACACTGGAGTGCCCATAGGCTTTTACATCAATTATGTAAACTTCCACAATTCTAAGCACAGGCCGTGTATAACTTTCAGCTGCATAGTTTTCCACTGGAACAAAAGGGAAAGAACAGGGGATCTCTACAGCTTAAACTATCCAGAAATCAAGCATTCTGAAGCCATCTGAAAAACTAGCTTCCTTCACATACCGCTGACCCCTCGCTGGCTGGAAAGGTTGAATGCTTATTGCTTTCCCCCTGAAAATGTCAGCGTTTGGGATCTCTCTGTAATTTTATCAGTAATGGCTTTTGAGGTATAAAGATCACTACTTCTTTTTTAAAGGATATCTATTGGAGAATTTTTATAAAGCATGCTTTTAAAGTTTATTTCTGTATTGATGATTTGAGTCCTGTAGTTCTTTAAGTATGGTGACACCGCAGAGACCTTCAGAATGAAAGTCTTGATGAAGACTAGCCCTTTGTCTGAGGACCTTAAGGGGTTTTTTGGGGGGAGGCATAATTTTCATGTGGTTGGGTGTTCTTTTGAAAAATCAACTTTACCTTCTCAGCTGGAAAACATTTGAAATGGTCCTAATTGCCTTCTGTGCATTACCATAAAATTCAACATTCTTTCTCTGCCCCAAACCCCATTGACCCCTGTCCCACCACTGCCCAGTCCTCCCCAGAGTGGGTAGAAATGGGTGCAAATAAGACTGGAAAGGCTTTACCCTTGAACTTTCTAATTACTGTAAGTCATTATACAGAGACATCTTGTAGTAAATACAGTCTTGGTGAATAGTGTGTTAAGTAGCTGACATAATACTTGCGCAGGTACAGAATTCCACAAATTAATTCACTCAGCTTCAGAATGGGGCCAGTCAGCCTGAATTTCTGATTCCTATTTCTAATACCAAGGCTATAGAAAACTTAAGGATGCTTCATGTACCGTATATACTCGAGTATAAGCCGACCCGAATATAAGCTGAGGCACCTAATTTTAGGACAAAAAACTGGGAAAACTTATTGACTCGAGTATAAGCCGGTTCACCACACCACAAACCTGGTGGTGGCAGCAGTGGAGGAGGGAGAACAAGCAGCCTGAAAGGGCTGCTTTCGGGCTGCTCACTCCTCCTCCACCACCGACAGTGGCAGAGGCGGAGGAGGAGGAAGGAGCAGGCGAAAGGGCTCCTTTTGGGCTGCTGCTTCTCCCTCTGCTGCCCCCGACAGCGGAAAAGGCGGAGGAGGAGGAAGGAGCAGCCGCTCGTCCCTCTGACACCGCCTCTGCCGCTCGCAAGAGCAGGCATAGGAGCCCGGTTGGGAGAGGTGCAGCGCAGCGCCTCTCCCAGCCATGGCTCCTGTGCCTGCCCTTGCGAGAGGCGGGCAGCAGCGGAGGGACGAGCAGTGAGAAAGGGCTCCTTTCTCACCGCTCGTCCCTCCACAGCTGCTCACCTCACTCGAGTATACGCCGAGGCAAGCTTTTTCAGCATAAAAAATATGCTGAAGAAGTTGGCTTATATTCGAGTATATATGGTATTTTGGGAGCCATATGTGTGTTCTTTAAAGACATGAACACTTCATGGGGAACGCTGGCCAGTCATGGCTCCTTGGCATGTGTGTATACCACTAGTGCTTAACATGAGTCCCTCCAGATGTTATTGGACTCCAGCTTCCATCAGCCCCTGCCAGTATGGTGGGAGGCATAGCCCAGCTCAGGGGTACATGGTGTATGTGAATGAAAAATGTAAAGCACACACCATATACAGATGAAACTCGGAAAATTAGAATATCGTGAAAAAGTTCATTTATTTCAGTAATTCAACTTAAAAGGTGAAACTAATATATGAGATAGACTCATGACATGCAAAGCGAGATATGTCAAGCCTTTATTTGTTATAATTGTGATGATCATGGTGCACAGCTGATGAAAACCCCAAATTAACAATCTCAGAAAATTAGAATACTAAATGGAATCAGCTAAACAAGGATTGCAAATAGCAATATTGGACCTCTGAGAAGTAGAAGAATGCATATGTACTCAGTTCTTGGTTTGGGCCCTTTTTGCATCAATTACTGCCTCAATGCTGCGTGGCATGGATGCTTATCAGCCTGTGGCACTGCTGAGGTGTTATGGAGGACCAGGAAGCTTCAATAGCAGCATTCAGCTCTTCTGCATTGCTCGGTCTCTTGCCTCTCATCTTTCTCTTAGCAATGCCCCATAGATTCTCTATGGGGTTTCAGGTCAGGCGGACCAACAGTGGACCAACACCAGCTGATTGACATGGCTCCCCAAATCAACACAGACTGTGGAAACTTCACACTGGACTTCAAGCATCTGGCATTGTGTGCTTCTTCATTCTTCCTCCAGACTCTAGGGCCTTGGTTTCCAAATGAGATGCAAAAGCTGCTCTCATCAGAAAAGAGATTTGGGGAGCCATGTCATCAGCTGGTGTTGGTTCACTGTGCTTCATTAAGTCCAGGGTCAATGCATCCGTCTGCCAGGAGATTTTGGAGCACTTCATGCTTCCTTCCGCAGATGAGCTTTATGGGGATGCTGACTTCATTTTCCAGCAGGTCTTTGGCACCCGCCCACACTGCCAAAAGTACCAAAACCTGGTTCAGTGCCCATGGGATTACTGTGCTTGATTGGCCAGCAACCTCGCCTAACCTGAACCCCATTGAAGCTTCCTGGTTTTCCATAACACCTCAGCAGTGCTACAGGCTGATAGCATCCATGCCATGCCTATCTCATATATTAGTTTCACCTTTTAAGTTGAATTACTGGAATAAATGAACTTTTCCACGATATTATAATTTTCCAAGTTTCACTAGTAATTATCCCTACAAGCACACTTTTGCAAAACTACCCCCCCCCCAATTTCTTTGTTTGATATATGGCAAAGCTTCAGCTGTTTCAAGAAAGTGCTTTTCAGTTCAAAAATTTTTTTATATTCCTTCCACATTTTCTCATAGCATGGGAGATTCCCAAGCTGTTACTGATTAAGGATGATAAGAGTGTATTTGCTCAGTTTTCTCTTAGTACCGCTGGTGTTTTACATCTGTGAAGTGATGCTTCACATAGCTAAAATTGGCCAAATATAGTCCGGGGGGTGGGGGAAATGAAATAAAATCAATTTACACGTTTCTCCAAGAAATGAAAATAGAACATGTTTTCCCTCCAGGGGAGCACAGAGGGATTTAATATTTGCATAGATAATTTTATGCTACCTAGTGTGCTCTTGCAAAGTCAGAATGTACGTAATATAAATGCCTACAGAGAAAGAGTTAGATTAGGGCGGGAAAGAAACCAAATCTTTTGAGAGTAATAAATGCAATACGTACAAGGAGTGAAACCAGATTACTTGGATTTAAGCCAGCTTGGACAGCGGAGAGCAACAAGAAAGGCAATTCCACACTGACTTCAAAAATATGTTTGATAAGGCAGAGCTTTGCTGTGGAAAAAGTGGTTTTGAGGAATTTTCTGTCTTATTGTCTTGTCCTGTAATTTCCTTGGTCAATCACAAGCCTGGGTCAGGGATTATTGCAAAAGGCATTTCGAAGGTGCAAGAGCCTGGAGCTGGCATTCTTGGTGCTTTGCTGAAGGCAACAACTGATTGAACAGCTACAAAGACAGTGTGACTGGATAGATTTCTTATCAGCCACTCCACAGAATTCCACACGCTCTGATGCTCCCTGCATAGTCTACAATTGGCATAGTCCCACTATATGAGTTCTTGATTTCCTATCAGATATTTATTGAACTTCGGGGTGCTTACATTGTTTCATTGCCCTATCTCAGACGTGACTTCGCTACAGCAACAGGTGAAATTATGTGTAGAACTGGATTTTGATTGGTCTAACAAGGCTATTGGGACACAGGTGGGGCTGAGGGTTAAACCAAGAGCCTAGGGCTTGCCGATCAGAAGGTCGGCGGTTCTAATCCCCATAATGGGGTGAGCTCCCGTTGCTCATTCCCTGCTCCTGCCAATCTAGCAGCTCGAAAGCATGAAGTGCAAGTAGATAAATAGGTACCGCTCCAGCAGGAAGGTAAATGGTGTTTCCGTGCATTGCTCTGGTTCTCCAGAAGCAAATTAGTCATGCTGGCCACATGACCTGGAAGCTGTACGCTGCTGGCTCCCTTGGCCAATAAAGCGAGAAGAGCGCCGCAACCCCAGAGTCATCCACGACTGGACCTAATGGTCAGGGGTCCCTTTACCTTTTAACAAGGCTAAATTCACCTGCTACTTTTTAAATGACTATCATCACATGTGGAGGGTGGAGTGGGATTGCACCTCTTGGCTGCAAGCTCAAGCCATTGTGCTTTCAACTGGCTTGTGAACAGATTGCTAAATGCACACAGAGTCGCTATGCTTTTTTTTGGGGGGGGGGGTAAAGTTCCCAACTGTATGTTGATTTGGTTCACAGCTTCATTTGAATGTGCAGAGGATGTGATCAGTGAGCACCATGAAACTATCATTTCATTACATTATGCATTTGGATGTTTTTTCGATCTTGCTTCACTGCTTCAGAACTAGTACATTTGGATTGTTTGCTCCAAACCATTCCTATTATACAGCAAAGATTTTCCATTGACAATGCTTTCTGTCCTGCAAATTAACTTTGAATTTTGCAAACCAGCACAAAATAAGATCAAAAGCACATTTAGATATCTAAGTGCAGCCTGTGTTTTCCAATGATAGTTTTTGTGGTTCCAAGGGTAGCATCCCTCACTTCTACCAAGCATTTTTTTCCACCTTTAACTTCCTCCCCCCAGCCTTCAGGCATATATGTATGGATGCATGTGTGTGTGCCTTACCATAATAAACACTCATGATATGGTAGGATATAAAAGATACAACCTACCAAAATACAGGCTCCCCCCTTTTTTTATTTGCACTTTTATATCTGCACCTATGTTCTCCATGTAATTTGAAGTTAGTGTAATCTAATGCTGGCAATTCTTTAGCAAAATTTATCCCAGCATCTGATTCCCAACTTTTCAGGCCATTTAGCAGAATAAGGCTGTACAGTCAAACCTCGGTTGTCGAATGGGCTTTCCAGAAGCCCGTTCAGCTTCCGAAATGTTTGACAACTGAGGTGTGGCTTCTGATTGGTTACAGGAGCTTCCTGCACTCAAGCAGAAGCCACGTCGGATGTTCGGCTTCTGAAAAACGTTCAAAAACCAGAGCATCTACTTCTGGGTTTTCGGCTTTCGGGAGCCGAAACATTCTAAAACAGAGGCATTCGGGATCTGAGGTTTGACTGTATTGCGATTATTTCAGTGCATTTCTATGTATAGCTACATTGTGAAGAGGAAAAGGTAATCTGTAAATCACTCAACGTTTTGGAATTTACTGGTGTCAATAGGTTAATCTAGCACCATAAATAATAAATCTAGCTTTTCCTTGTGTTTCGTTACAGAAGGAAAGAATATTGGATTTGCAATTGGCTACAGTTCTAGGGGCTTTCTGCCAAGAGAAATCTCCTGCTCATGGTTCCCAGAAGTGCTGTACCTATTGATCTTTTTATATTATTGATCTACACCTTGTGTACAGTGTTTTCATCTTCTCTTTTTCTCTTTTTCTCCACCCTAGTACTCGGTATGGACTGCTATCTGGGTCACATGGAATGTTTTCATTATCTGCTTCTATTTGGAAGTAGGTGGGCTTTCTAAGGTAGGTTCCATGTAAATCCTGGTTTTGGGGAGGATAGGACAATGGTGTTTTGATAATAACATTACAGAAGGAATATTCTTTTTTGAAAACAAAACAAAACCATCAGACATCACTGAGTTGCTTTGCTGATCATTTGCCAGTCTGTCTGTTATAGTAAATGTTTGGGCTGCCTCACCTATTTTTTTCTTGTAGAGGGTGATCACTGAGTGCAGCTGGACATGGGAAACATATTAGTTACTATCAGGGCTTTCTTTTCACCTAGAACTCAATGGAACTCAGTTCTGGCACCTCTCAGGTGGGTGCCATTGCATTATGAGAGAGGTGTTCATTGTGAGGTCCAGCACCGTTTTTTTCTAGGAAAATAGCACTGGTTATTGGTCGCTCTGGAATTGCATTTTGCAAATAAGAGTGGGCTAAAAATGTTTTAAATATATAAGTAACATTTTAAATAGTGTAGCATTTTAACACATAACAGCATGAAAACAAGTACCAACAGCTGTTTGGAGCACCATTATGCAAAAACAGCCTAATGCTATTTCATGACTATAATTCTATTTCAATTTCACGATATTAAATAAAAATCACAGATGAGAGCCTACATGTTATTTTGGTTTCCTGGAGAGTTAACAGCAGTATCTTTTACTTTTAGAATGTGTAACTGCTCGGGGTACAGGGACCCCACCCCAAAGCTTTTTTTTACAAAATCCAAACCATCTCCCATCATCTCAGTAGTTTGAATAGGCCTCTGAGAATGCCCAATAAAGGAAATACAGTAGTATTTTTAAGTTAATAATAAACAAACTCAAAAGGAAATATTAATATAAATCCCAAGAATTATTCTGTCACCTATTCAGTAGCATGGGAGTGGATGGGCAGGGTGAGTTGGCACAGAAGAATTATAATAAAAAAGTAAATGTGCATATATTTAATGAAATCAGCAAGTACATGGCATAGTAACAGAGAAGAACTTGTTCTAAGCGGTGTCTAAAGCATTAAAATATCTATGCAAGTTTCTTACACACACAATGTCAGCTGACCTGGTGGGTCCTCTGTTTCTTTCTTCTGCTCATGTGGTTTCTCCTAATCTTTCTGCTACATCATAGACCCCACAAGCCCTATAGTATTTCATGGTAATAAAGTTCATTATGGGTTTTCTGACTATTTTAATCATCATACCTAAATAACATCCTGATGTTGTTTTGGTGTATTTGTATTTCTTGTCCTGAAGGTTTATTGTTTTTTCTACAGCGTTGTCTTTTTTAAGTCTGTTTTTTTCAAGGTAGACTTTCAAAGTGAAACTTCATTTTCTTTTATTACACCACAGTTTTGATTATAAATTTTATTTTGGAGGAAAAGTCTCTAAGATATCTGAGTTAGCCTTTCTTTCTGATGTCCTTTATTATATTCACTCTTTTCCGTTTCAGACACTTTTGAATGATTTTTGGTTTGTATTGAAAATATAAACTTTTTAGGCAAGATCCAGTGTTGAGGAGAGATTTTATGCTTGTTCCGTGCATGCACAACCAGAGTTCTGTTTTCAGAAGTTGTCAGAGTTCAATCAGTAGTTTGGCAATAAGGTATGAAAACTTCAAAGTGGGAAAGGTGTTAATATGTGCATGTCTCAAAAGGCCTCTACAATTCTGATCTAGTCAGAGAAAGTTGCTCACTAGGAACTGTCCATGGTGCTGCAGTAGCCAACCTCCCTTGCTGCCTTGCCCTGTAGGCTCCTCAGTGGAACAAGAACAGACCAGCATGCTAGTTTTTTTTTAAAACAAAGCTTTGTAATGCTCTGCTATTCACTGATAGTTGATGAGTATTGGAAGAGGTGAGGTTATGTTTTTACTATTATTTCAAACAAAACAGACTGGTGAGGCTAAACCAGTGGCTGAGCTAGAAGTATATACTGTATAACCAGACAATGCCAGGACCAAGAGTGGTGATGGAAAGAGATGGTTGAGTTTCAGAAGCCGAAAGTCACATCATTTCCTCCAATCTCAATCATTGCCTCCATTCTCAACCAGGCTCACTATCAGAGATGCTGGCTTGCATCTGTTTCAGTTTTGCAGACTATGATGCTGCTGGGCTAGTGGTGAGTGAGGTCAAAGCAAGAATGGGCGTGCTACACCACACGCAAACCGACACACATTGCACCCCCACCCCCAGCATATCCCCTCCCCACATACAGTCACTGCACACAGGATGTGGATGCTTAACCCTTCCTGTTCCAGCAGTGACCCCCACCCTCCAAAAAACAACCTCACGCTGCAGTTAGGCATTAGAAAATATCTAACTAGTGGAGAGGCTAACTCAGGAGGGGCTGCTGTGAGCAAGATGGCGAGGCCACATGAGGAGCATCCAGCCCATGGCTCAGCTGGTTCCCTATTGTATTGAACAAGAGTCCCTCAAAGTCTTTCTCTACTCCCTGCAAGCTTCAGAATAACTTTTTGTAGGTATGCTTCACTCATACAACTGCATTCCTGAGGCCTTAATTAGAAAGCCTTTCCAGATGGTGCCAAAAATAGTTTTGTATTTTCCCAGGTGACATTTACAGTGGTTTCATAGAATTGCATAAAAACAGGATCATAAAACAGCAATATTGTTTTAAGTAGGAAATTCATTTTCTTTTATTATACCACAGTATCCCATTCTGCAACTGCAAGGGAAAGAACTGAGGGTTTTGATGGTGGCTAGAAAAACATTACTTGGATTCAGGATCTATCTGTAGATGGATAGCAGCAGGGGTGGACTTCAGTCTTCAGAAGGCCAAAATTTAACATGGGTTGCCAGTGCCCAGGGCTGTGTGGAGGTGAGGGATGGTGGGAGGGAAATATGCATGCACATTCAACTGCCTAACAGCGTCTGTGTCACCCAGGAGATTACAGCCACAGAGATAAGAAAAGAGGAGTCATTCCATTGTCTGGAGAGGTCATTTCATGGCTCTCATGGAGAAGCCATTTTCAATGAAACCCAGCAACGGAAGTGTACAGCTGTATCGAGGCAGCACCAAGTGCTGACGTTTTGTGCCCCATACAATTTTGCACCCTGGGCAACCACCCTTGTACCCCCCCACACACTCCACCACTGGTGCCCCCCCACCTGTCACCTTCCATTCTACTCAATTCACTTACATCATAGTTGTGGCACCTTGCAGTGCTCCCTAGGCTTGACACGCAGTATGGTGGAATCAGTCACACTACCCTAAATCTGCCTCTCTTAGCAGTTCTACCTATTCAACTGAGAGGTAGACCTGGGATGAAAGTTTCCCAGAGGCCAGGTATGTTCATGCCCCATCACCAGTCTTTTACCAGGTTGACCAGAAAGGATAGACCTGTTCTCTTGTGCTAGTTACCCTTTCACAGTTTTTACCACCCCACCTCCTGGGAAAAATCTCTGTGGGTACCCATGCCAGCAGAGGGAGAACTCAAAGCAGGGATGTTGCTTTTGAATGCAGTTCTGCCTTACTTCCTTGCTGTCTAGTGCTGTCCGAAACATATTTCAGCCAATCCTAAATACTTTTGTACTATATAATCATAGAATTGTAGGTTTGGAAGGGACCCCAAGGGTCATCTAGTATAACCCCCTGCAGTGCAGGAATCTCAGCTAAAGCATACCTGTCAGATGCAACCTCTGCTCAAAAACCTCCAAGGAAGGAGAGTGCACATTTTGCAGATATATCTTACAGTTAAGATAAAGAAAGTATGTGTGATACAATTATCTGCAGCTCCTATTCAAACCCTATTTAAAATGAGATGAATGGCCTTTGTTGGATACTACAATTTGGTTTTTGTATTCTTTAAAATTCAGGTGGAAACCCACTTGTAAAATGCTTGCTTCTTGAGACTCTTTTCCCATTTGAGGTTGGCACTTAAACAAAACCTCCCTTATTGTGCTCTCTTATAATTGTTAGGGTTGTTGTAAAATTGACCACATAAATATGATGAGTGAGCCCTGAAATGTTTTGAATTTCTTTTATTTATTGAGTGCAGAAGGAGAAGAGAGTCTAGTATAAAAGGAAGGCTCAAGGTTTCTGAAATCAATGATTCTGAGAATTGCCTAAGTGTTGAATGATATGCATGAATAATTTAAGACTGTTTTGTTTAAATGTGCAAAAGTCAAGTTATCCTTGCAGTGCGACACATTGTCAATTGCCAGCAATTTCCTATGTTTTTGAAAACCACAAGCAGCAATTTACAGGAAAGATTAGGGCTGTTACTATACAATGTGTGACATTTTCTTGATTTAAACTGTCATTCTGAAAAGCTGTTAAGAGAGATCTGGAGTTGGAGAGAGCATATAAAGTTTAGTGGATTTTTTTTTTTAAGCTGAGCTTCAGTTTTATTTTTTTGCTTGTTAAAAGCCAAGCACAGAAGTTGAAGTATGTGTGTATGCAGATTTGCATTTTCAAAGGAAATTGCATGTGGTCTCTTTTGGCATTCATGTGATGTGGCAGTATATGCTACAGCACTGACATTTTACATCTCCTAAGTACAATAACATATTTCTTAAATATCAACACTGTTCTAAGGATATGCCAGAAGTTTGATAGTAAGTGTTTCAGACAGCTGGCACCACAGCAATATATACTGCTTTTATCTCAACCTGTCTTTCTAGAAATAATGCTCAGGATTATTTTAGGTTATCAAAAATCAACTCCACTTAAACTCATGCAGCACCTTTCTAGTTGCTTTATATGTAAAGACACTAGTCTCAATAATGATTCTTTAAATGGCATCATATACAACAAGCTTTACTATGATTTCTGTAGCTAGATTAGTTTCCAAACTAAATTCTGGGTTTGGTATTGACTTGCTTCACATAGATCACTCCACATTCTGTCACCAGGCAATGTGTTTTTTGTTTGTTTGAAGGAACTGTTTATTACACAGCACAAAATACACATAGCAGTAACTTGAGGTTATGGCAAAATCAGGTCCACTTGGAATGCACAGAATTTATTCAACTTAAAATTAAAGTAAGAAAAAGTTGAATCATCCAATTTA